ATGTGTCCGGTGCCTGGACCATTACCACATCTGCTTCTGGAGCAAGACCAGGTGGAGCCACACCAGGTGGAGCCAGACCAGGTAGAGCCACACCAGGTGGAGCCACACCAGGTGGAGCCAGACCAGGTAGAGCCACACCAGGTGGAGCCACACCAGGTAGAGCCACACCAGGTGGAGCCACACCAGGTGGAGCCACACCAGGTGGAGCCAGACCAGGTAGAGCCACACCAGGTGGAGCCACACCAGGTGGAACCACAGGTGAGGGTTTAGGGTTATGGTCTTTTGTATCTTGATGTATTTTTGTCATATTTTTACACAGACTACATCCTAAATAATTCAAACGTTACGACTCAAATAACTGTTGTAAATGCAGACTTGGATCTATGGTCAGTGTTCTGCAGCTCACAGGAGGCCAACTAGAGGCCTGCGGGATGAATGCGGCCCCCAGACCAATTTTGTGGCCCCTAAATTGACAATTATTACTGATACTGTCCAAACTGCTGTCATGTCCTTAGGCTTCACACAATTTGGAATGAGTCAGGTGTGTGAGTGGCTGGTGGTGGTGGGAGGGGCCGATGGCACAGACTGGTTGCTTTGCCTCCATCATTGTGCCCGAAGGCAGCTGTGGCTACAGTAGTAGTTTATTATTGGTGAATGATTCCGATTCAGATTCAGATTCCGTTTATTTTCCATTTGCAGTAAAAACACCACATTGGAATACATTAGCAAAAAGTCACCAGTGTGCACAGACATAAAACAACATTAAAAGACAAAAATAAAACAAATAAAACAGTAAACAAATGTCATTGTGAAATCAATCGACTAAAACAGTTCAAAACAAGTACAAATCATTAAAGTTCTCTGTTCACACTGATAACAGCTTGTGGATAAAAACTGTTAGCGTAACGAGATGTCCTGCATCTCAGAGAACGATATCTTCTGCCAGAGGGAAGAAGCTGGAACATGGCTTTCCCAGGGTGGCCAGAAGAGTCATTAACAATCCTAAGAGCTTTGTTTAAAAGTCTGGATTTATAAAGAACCTCCAGAACAGGAAGCTCACAGCCCATGGTCCTCTTTGCAGAGCGGAGCACCTTGTTTAAAGCTCTCTTTTCTTTATCTGTGATGTTTCCAAACCACACAGACACAGAACCAACAAGTAAACTCTCAATGGTGCAGCGATAAAAGTTAAGCAGAATCTTAGAGTTAGTGGTAAATTCTCTAAGTTTACGCAGAAAGTAGAGACGCTGACAAGATTTCTTAACGACTCGGTCAGTGTTTTTAACCCATTTCAGGTCGTTAGACAGAGTTAAACCCAGAAACTTGCACTCCTCTACAATCTGCACCTGGGAGGTGTTGATTACAACAGGCAAATGAGAACTATTTCGACTGAAGTCGTAGACCAGTTCACATGTTTTGGATGCGTTCAACTGGAGGTTGTTAGTGAACCACATTTTGTATCTCTGCTCTATAAGAGGCTTCATCATTGTCACTGATGAGACCGATGATGGTGGTGTCATCAGCATATTTGATGATCAAGTTTGAGTCAGAGGAGGACACACAATCGTGAGTGTACAAAGTAAAAAGCAAAGGACTCAAAATACATCCCTGAGGAGAACCAGTGCTCACAGAAACAACATCAGAAAAACAGTCATTGATTTTCACTCTCTGAGATCTGTCAGTTAAAAAGCTAAAAATCCATTTACACATGGCAACACTTAAACCGAGAGACATGAGCTTTTCAATCAGTTTACCTGGGACAAGGCAGTTAAAAGCAGAGCTATAATCGATGAAAAGCATTCTCGTGACAGATTTACTAGTGTCCAAGTGACTGTAGACAGAGTTCAGAGCAAAGGAGATGGCCTCCTCCACACTCCTGTTCTGTCTGTAGCAAACTGGAGCGGGTCAACACTCACAGGGATCTGGCTCTTAATGAAGTCCAGCACAAGCCGCTCAATAATGAGAAGCATCTTTAAGAGTAAAAAAAAACCAAAGCTGTATCCTTACTATTAGTGGCAGTAGGAACAGAAGTAGTGACAGTAGGCTTATAGTAGTAGTAGTAGCAGAAGTAGAAGCAGTAGTAGTAATAGCAGTAGTAGTAGTAGCATTAGTAGTAGGAGTATAAGTAGTTGCAGTATAAGTATTAGCAGGAGTAGTCGTAACAGTAGTAGTAATAGCAATAGCACTAGTACAGAAGCAGTACCAGTAGTAGCAGTAGTATCAGTACTTATAGCAATAGTAGTAGTAGTGTCAGTACAGCAGTAGTAACAGTAGCAGTATCAGTAGTAAAATTTGTTGTGCTAGTACAGTAGTAGGACCAGTGGTATCAGTAGTATCATTACAGTAGAAATTCCGTAGTATCAGTAATATCAGTACTAGTAGCAGTAGTATCAAATGTACCAATTGTAATATCAGTAGTACTAGTAAAACAGCAGTACCAGTAAACAGTAGTAGTAGTAGAACCAGTACCAGCAGTGTCAGTACCAGTATCAGTACTAGAAGCAGTATATCAGTACTCACGTTCTCCTCGCGGCTCAGCTCCAGCGTGTGATTGGTCAGGTTGAGTCTGAGGGTGAGTTCCAGGATGGAGGCCCGGAGGGAATCCTGCTGCTCCCTCTCGGCTCTCACCATCTCCTCCAGGGCCTCGTGGTTCTTCCGACACACCACCTTCGAGCCCTCGTGCTGCACCGTCAGCTCCCGCAGATCAGAACGACACTGGGCGGCACTCTTAAAGTCCGGAGCCGTGGCCCAGACCACAATGGTCACCAGCGAGGCCAAGGACCACAGGCTGAGAACCACCAGCGACAGTTTGGTGCATTTACCAGACGACTTGGACTCAGTCATGGTTCAAATAAGGTAGAAAAATCTGAGAGAATTTTGAAAAATTGGAGAAGCTTTTTCAATTGTTTTCAGTTACAAAAAAAAATCAAAGAAAATCAAAGAAATGTGATTTTAATGAAGCAAAAATAGGTCTAAACTAGGAGTGAGACAGCAAATTTCTACCTTAAATGCTTCTAAAAGATAGATTTCTACCTTACATTCAAAAATAGAACTTCCAAAAATGCCAGTAAGAGAAATGGAAACTTTGCAAAGGTTTTGAGTTTGAAATGGACGCTCAGAACTTTCAGGACAAACTTAGATTGCTGTTTGGTTAATGCTAATACTCATTTAAAAGAATATACTGATACTAAAATACAAAATCTAGAGAAGACCGTTGACAGATAATTTAGATTTTAGGTTTAATTTCTGCAAATATAGACTCTTTGCTTTGTAGTTCGACTCAAAACTCGTTAAATAAAAAATAGCAACAACTACACCGACATGAAGAGGGATGCGTCTAAAATCCTGGTGAAACTGGATCTGTGTGAAATCAAAAGTCTCCAGGTCCCAGTTTTACGAACCAGAGAAGAAGAAGTTTGTAAAATAGTCCAGGATCGCTGCTGCAGAGACGTGTGTGAAGTGAAAGCACTGTCTGTGTGTGGATCAGCCTCTGCCACCTCCTCCTCTGCTGCCTCCCCCTCTGGCAACTCCTCCTCTGCTGCCTCCCCCTCTGCTACCTCCCCCTTTGCTGCCTCCCCCTCTGCTGCATCCCCCTTTGCTGCCTCCCCCTCTGCCAACTCCTCCTCTGCTGCCTCCCCCTCTGCTACCTCCTCCTCTGCTACCTCCCCCTCTGCTGCCTCCCTCTCTGCTACCTCTCCTCCTGCTACATCCCCCTCGGCTTCCTCCCCCTCTGCCAGCTCCTCCTCTGCTACCTCCTCCCTCTCTGCTGCTGCCTCCTCCTCCTGCTACCTCCTCCTCTGCTGCCTCCCCCTCTGCTACCTCCCCTCCTGCTACCTCCCCCTCTGGTACCTCCTCCTCTGCTATCTCCCCCTGCTGCCTCCCTCCTGCTACCTCCCCCCCTCTGCTACCTCCCCCTCTGCTACCTCCTTCTCTGCCCCCTCCTCCTCTGCCACCTCCTCCTCTGCTACCTCCCCCTTTCTAACTCACCCCTCTGCTCAAGAGGAGAAACTACAGCCCTACTTCTACTCTGCTCCCCTCACCTCCCTCTCTTCTCTCCCCTCTCCTCCCTCTCTTCTCTCCCCTCTCCTCCCTCTCTTCTCTCCCCTCTCCTCTCTCTCCTCTCTCCCTCCTCTCCTCTCTCTTCTATCAAGCTGCTAAAGAAGCAGGTAAAGCAAATCTGTAATTTCTCTAACTGTACTGTCAGACCCCCACCCTCCCACCTCCATCCCCCTGTCTCCCCCTGCTCCCCCCTCAGTCTGTTTCCGTTTCCTGACGTCATGACCTCAGTTGAACCGAGTATCTTGAACCTTCCAGAATAAAAACACATGAACAGATACTTAAAACACGAGGTCGGACCTGTTTTCTGTCAATTCTGCCATCAGTAAGAGCTCAATGCAGCCCAACAGGGAAGTGCTCATGGTCGAAGTTTTGCTCCAACCCACTCCAACCCAGCCTACACTACCCTACTCTACTCTGCTCTACCTCTTGGAACTCTGCCCAGAGTAGAGTAGCGTAGAGTAAAGTAGGGTAAAGTAGAGTAGGGTAGAGTAGGATAGTGTGGGGTAGAGTGAAGTAGAATGCAGGGTTGAGTAGAGTAGAGTAGACTACAGGGCAATTGTTTTGTGGTATGAAAGTTTGGTACCTCAGCTTTAAAAGATCTAAGTTAAAGTTAGAGAAGTATTTGACAGCTTCAATGTTGTCACAAAGAGCTGAATGAAACATAATCCTCCCATAGAAGGTTTGTTTACATTTCTATTTCCCTGTTAAAAAGTTGTGAGAGATCTGCAGATGTTGTCCCGTTTCTATGGGCTTTCAGACGAGCGCCTCAGCAGCCAATCAGAGTGGAGGCTGGGTGAGCTGCAGCCAATCACAGCGCGGAGTGGAGAATGGCTGGCAGCGATACAGGAAACAGTGAACACAGCTGCGGTTGTTTGGTTTATTGACTACGCTGTGGAAGGACTGAGTCTGCAGGTGAGGGAGGGGTGAGGGAGGGGTGAGAAGGGGGTGAGGGAGGGGGGTGAGGAAAATAAAATGTTGACCATTCCATTCATTTCATTTCATTTTGATATATTTGTGTTTCACCCTAAATCACAGCAGCAGTTGTCTCGGAGGATGATGCGGCCCGCGAATAAATTATCTTGGCCATTGGGATGATATTTGATTAGAATTAGAACCGGCCGCACAGAGCCATAAGACAATATTGGATTATTAATTTAATGTTCAGCACATGTTTTTTCTTTGAAGGAAGTTTGTTTTTGTCTGTGAGCTTTATGTAAAAATAAATCACTTGAAATTACTGACAGAGCTCTACAAAAATATTGGATAATTTATTTAATCATTAAATATAATACTGTACACTGTTCGGTCTTGGTTCACCAGTGTGGCCCTCGACTTATAGCAAATTTGTTTTTTTGGCCCTCTGATGTATTCGACTTTGACATCCCTGCACTAGGTCAATGAAGCCCCATAAGGAAGCGCTCATGGACAAAGTCTATGGTCACTACTTGTAACCCATAATCTTTTGAAACCTGAAAAATCATGGGACACATTGACAAAAAAATAAGCCTTGAATTAGTGTATGAGTGAAAATGTGCACTTTATTTTTTTAAATGACTTGTAATAATCCCCTCAATAATCCTGCCCCTCCCTGTTACCGCTACTGCTGCTGCTGCTGCTGCGGTGACATTTGCAAAGACTTCCTCTCATGAATCAGAATGTGCTGAAGATGATTCTATCAACTGTCAAAGCTCAAGAGAGAGAGAAACATTAGGTAGAAACAGTTCAGTGGAAAAGCCTGTTACACTGCCCCCTAGTGGAAGAGCAGAGACAGTGCTGGAGTTTTTAAAACTTTTTTTTAAAACTTTTAAAGCAGTTGTTGAAGGGGGCTATATAAATACATTTGACTTACATTCCATCATTTTAATCTCTCATTATTTGTTCGGCTGCATCACTACTGTGTATATGTTTACATTTCATGGACTTGGATCTTCTCCTCAGGTTAGGGCATGGACTGGTCTGGTCAGAGCCGTAGACTGTCAGACCATGATCTAGAGCTGGAGACATGGACACACTGCGCTGCCCTCTGGTGGACAGACGCACAAACTACACCCAGTCTTTGAGATCACTGGCTCCAGTCCTCGCCTCAGTCCACGCCTTGGACTGGATGAGCCCAGGCCACAGCCCAGTGACGGTACTCAGTCTACACTTGGACCAGCGTCTGGAGTCTGAAGTGGTCTCATCAAAGACGAGATTAAAGGCTTTTGTATCTGGATTCAAGTCTAGAGCCAAATTTGGGAGGATCTCAAGGACTCTGATCTCTTCTCCTGTAGCATCAGTGAGATCAGAGAGAGCAGAACACGGGGTTTGACAAGGTGCAGGCACAAATAGAGAACCTTAAAGCTGGGGTATCCAATTTTCAAACCACAAAAACATGTATATTAGTTATCTGAAAATCCACCTTATTCCTGGTTCACAAATCTTCAAATCACAGAATATAGTGAAAGAGGATCTCTCACAGGGCTCTTTCTTACACACATGCAAAATAGTGTTTTTTAATAAGATGAGGACAGAAGCGGAAGAAAATGGATGGATGGATGGATGGATGGAGGACAGAAGGTGATGTCACACTCCTTCCAGATCTTTTGAAATGTCCCCACTGCGGGACAAATAAAGGATCTCTTATCTTATACACAGTCTATGGATGAGTGAAGAAACCAATAATAATAATAATGAGGTAAAACAGAGACCAGACCGTATGAAGTTTCCATAAAAAGCTCTTTATTCTTCTGTGACATGAACTGTAAGGCTCAGAACGGTTCTTTCAAATATCCACATGAAACAAACAGGCGTAGCACACACAAGGCAGTATGTACAGCTCCCACCGGCCCTGAAGGCAGCACGAGACCCTGAAGGCAACACGAGGCCCTGAATGCAGCACGAGCCCCTGAACGCAGCACGAGGCCTTCAGACAGGGACAGTGTGTGAAAGGAAAGCCGTGTTTGTGCCAGTCCTAAACCTGGAGAAACTGAGACGATGGGAGCAAAGTGGAGAAGGAGTTTGGAAGCAGAAATGTTGGTAAGTTTTTAGAGATTATTATGTTTAAGAAGAATTTCACAGTTTGATGCACGCAGCTCTAGGTTCAGTCAAGTCAATAAAGACAACAAACATGATTGGACAATTCTTAAAAATAGTTAAAAGTTCTTTAAACGCTGGCTCCAACCATAGTAATGGCATCTTAACAACTATATATTTTTCTGGCTGTTATGGAAGATGAGGGCAGGCTTATTTACTCATTTAATTGCTTAACTCTTGTGCTGCCCTTGGGTTAAAATGACCACCACAGAGGATTAGAAGTAGGCTCTAAAAGGGCCTAAAGGGGTGCATGGCGGCTGAGTGGTTAGCGCTCTCCCTTCTCAGCTAGAAGGTTGTGGAACAGGGTTTCTGAGTGGAGTTTGAATGTTCTCCCCCTGGCTGCATAAGTTTCCCCTACCACTAAAAACATGCACAGTACGTCAAAAACTCCAGCTCCTGTGGTGTATTTGACCTGAGCACAGCACAAGGGTTAAAACTGCCAAAGGTTTCCTAGAATGACTGTTGATTATTTTATTTTAAGGGAAGCTGCAATGGAGCAAAAAAAATGTCTTGAGCATACGGTGAAGAGGCCTCTGCAGGACGATCCGCTGTTAGGAAACTTTCAACTCCAGGTTTGTTCAAGTCACATTCAAGGCCTTAGATTGTAAAGTGTATTGTGAGTTTAAGACGTGTGGAGAAAGTAACTTAAAGCAGTAGAATAAGTTCCTGTTGTCTCTCCTCTCTCTTGGTTCTTTCAGTGTTTGCAGCACTTCATTAGATCTCACAGAGAAGGTTCCAGAGAAGGTTAAAGAGCAGCTCCCACTGGCCCTGAACGCCCCGTGCTGCCTTCACTGCTCCAGGACAGTTTTTTTTAAACATCGTTTCACTGTTTTTCCACAATTTTTTTTGCCTCAAAAAAAAAAAAAAAAGAAAGGAACTCAACACGAAAACACTAAAAACACCGGTTTGAAAAACAAAAAGGCAATTTTAAAAAGAGTTTCTCCTGAGAGAGATTTGCATCTACGAAAGAAGAACACAGGAGAGAGAGAGGGAGAGAGAGAGAGAAAATGAGAGACAGAGAGCGAGAGAGAGCAAGAGTGTGAGAGAGAGAGAGAGCGAGAAAGCCAAAGAGAGAGAGAGAGAAAAGGCCTATTTGGTCTCAGCTTCTTACATCTAATAAATAAAGCTGTCCATAAAGAGTCCAGCAGATTATGACACAAAATCAAAAACACTAAAGACGCAGTAACAGAGGAATGGTAAATATTGCTACAATAAATGATTGGAACAAAACATGATTGCAAGAGCTAAAACCTCTAAAACCCCTTAAATAAGACGGAACCAGGCAGAACCAGGACTTTGAGGATAAAGCTGGGGTACCCGACTTTCAAAACCACAACGTGAAATATTTGTGATGATCTGGATTGAACCAGGACCTCGCTCTACAAACAGTTGCTTCTGACACTAGTTTTCCTCTGTACTTTTGGCCTCTATCACAGTTTTAGATCAGATTTTTCAGGCAGAAAAGGGAGGGTCAGTCTTTTTCTTAGCCCAAAGAATCAAAGAGTGACTCACAGGGATGTGTTTAGAAGCATGCACAAGTGCGTTAGATTGATGGCATTTGACCCCCAGCACCTGAAAAGCATTATGGGAATGCAAATTTAGCGAATCAGAAATCCAATAATAATTAAAGCCGCAAGCGGCTTCGAACGGCCCTCATAGCACAGTGCAAAAGAGGGGGCACTGATTCAAAGTCAAAATTCTGCAGCTAACTTGATGCTACATGTTTTTAGACAATGTGGAGCGATTTTGAGACAAAATCTGTGAAACGACTGAGGCGGAGCTGTTGATCAAACAATGTGTGTTTAAAAATAAATATGAAGGCATGGTCATAACAACTTCTTGTATTAAATCTTGTATTGAGGTGACAAATATGAGTACCAAATATTGTAGCTCTAGGACACACTAAATGCATAAATGGCCAAATCTAATTGGTGGCGCTATTGAAAAAAACCTCCAAAAACAACTTTTTTTTGCCGGAACAGATCTTTGTGCAAAGTTTTACAACTATTTATGCATCATCAGGGGTCAAAATGAGGTTCAAAGAGCAGAAGATTAGAATAAATATTTTCATTTTTAAGTGTCTCGAGCAAAAACAATATAGGCTTCAATGGCACTTGATACATCATTTTAAAGCGCTTGAGTTTACGCACGCAACTGTTGCATTTTGGTGAGTGACAGGCACTGACGCGTCCGTCACTCACTGCCATCTTTTGCGTTCACCATTGTGAAAGCAATAGGCCCTTTCACCGGCGCTCAGGCCTAATTAATAGATTCATATTTTAAGAATGTAGAGGAAAATAAAAATCTGATTAAGTGACCTTTGAACCGTTACATGGTTTGAATGTTCCGTGTACTTCAGATAACAGCAATTACATTTGTAGTATAGTTGTGTATTCATTTAAGAAGGAAAACCCCATTGAGAAAGTCATAAATCCATAAAGTCCTGTTCCACTCGGCTCCGAGATCTCACAGACCTAAAACAGTTCCGTAGACGCGAGACTAAACACATAAACACAGGTTAAATAAAGCCACAGTAAAGTAAACTGTAAACCTGCCCCGCGGCATCATGGGAGTCGCGGTCCGCTCGGGGCTAAGGCACAGGAACGGTCAGACAGCGCCAGTTCGAAGTCACACACACACAACTGAGGCAACACAACGTGGCTCCAATCTGCTCCAGCTCAGAGTCTCTCACACTAAAGATTCCATTCCATTCCATTCCATTGAATGTTTTCTAATACTGGGTTACAGCTGACGTCAGTGCAGCGGAGTGAAAACCTCAGAGAGACAGGAGGTGAATCTTTCCATCAAGAACCGTGTAACTCTTCACTTACTCTGAGTCAAAATGCTTGTTTTTTGTGGCTTTTTGCTCGTGTCAAGTCTCTATTTTGCTAAAATATATTTCTCTAACGGGTGAACATTTTTTGGTAAATACCTAAAAAGGAACAGAATAAATGCATTAGCCTGTGTAGCATCTGTGTGGCATATGCCGCAATTTCTGCGAACATAGCAGCGAGGAGAGCAGAGCTTATTTTCCGTTAAACAAATCACCGCTCTGACAATAGAGGGTCATATTTCTGCTTCATATAATAAAAGTAAAATGTGTCATATTTATGTAACTATTGTTCAGAACTTTCATCTTGGATATGGTTCTGTTGATCCCAGAGACTCCACTGTCTCCACTTAATCCTCCTAAATGTTGAAAATATTGAACTAATTAAAAGTCTACACGGCGTACACTTTTGAGAATGAATTTCACTCAAAATCAGAGTTTTAACAACTGTGAACTAACGGGAGAGAAACACTTCCTGTCCCACAGCCCCATGCCACGCCCCCTTCTGGTCACGTGATTGCAACCCAGCCAATCTAAGTATAGATTATGTGTGAGGGTCCATGGTGCTGTTGTATAAGTCTCAGTAACAATGGAATCATTCGCTACAATCACTATTGAGAACGAGTAACAGTCACAAAGTTTAGGCACAAACGCGTTGAGTTGTGGAGGAGTAAGAACCCCCCTGCTGCATCGGTCTGCAGTGTCTGAATGATCTACAGCAAATACAACTACAGTTATAAAGGCAACATTCAAGATGATTACAAAACATTAACGTGTCCTCAGTTCTGGATCTACAGCCTCAGCCTCGGAGTCTTGAAGCCACTGGACAACATTATAACAGATCATATTTCCGGTCAAAACTACTTTATAATTGAATTTCCCCTATGCCCATTTAAGGAAACTGGCTCCAGCTAGCTTCTGCATTAAGGCTAACACTATTGTGCATCTGCTTACAATGTCTGTAATATTCTGTATCTTTCTCTTTTATTTCTGTGTCAATACTTTTATCCATATGTCACATTTCTCTGGGGAAAAAAGTGGGACTAGAAAACCCAATGACAAATGGATATTTCAATAGAAAGTAGAATACAAAAATAGATGTAGTAGAACAATGACATACAGCTTTAATATGTGTTCAAGTCTGATTTAACACAAAAGACTTGTTTCTCTGTTTGAGATGGTCCAGTGGCTTCTAGACATGTATAGATTTGGATTTGACTGCGATATTTGTTTAATTTAATCTTGCATCTGTTTTTCGGGGCAGACCTGACTCGGAGGGATAACAAGGGACTATACACAGACTTGTCGCTGATCCGGACTTAACTGGAGCAGACTGGAGAAACGTGGTCGCGCTCACATCGCTAACATCACTTTCTCTCTCCGTGTCAAAGAGACGCCAAAGGCAAGAGTGGCTACAGGTTACAGCAAGGACTTAAATCCTGACGTAAAAACCCCAGAAACTCAAATTAAAACGAACAAAACTTCAGGTCAACCTCATATCTCAGCTTCTAACACCTGAGGCAGACCCCAAAGTACACGTTACTCTAGTCTTATGCATCACTTACTCCTGAAAAACAAACTACAATACATTAGAAAAATAATTTAACGTTACAGACTTCACGTTGGTCGATGCAAACATGCACTGGAATGTGGAGTGTGGTGGGCGTGGCCTTCCAAAGTCCTTGCAGGGCCCTGATTGGTCGATCCGGGCGTCAATGTAGTGTCTGTTTCTGGGTTTTGGTTTTGTGCGCTTTGATTGGTCCCACCCCCTTCCCCCCTCCCACCTCTGCACAACGATTAGTGCTTCCTGGAGTAATCCACAGTCCCATTCCCCGGTATAGATTGGGATCACGCTGGAAAAGTAATATCTGGGACTGTTACAAAGGCTTGATGTCAGGATTTGAAAATGTCACTTTTTCAATAATCTCATTATTTGCCATCACTTAAGCCCTGTTTCCATCAGCCCTATTCTACTCTAGGATCATTTGGAATAGGCTGACCATCGCTTACAATTGGTAGTAGCATCAATCCCACAGGTTTATGCCAGAATGCCAGAAGCAACTGCAGAAGCAACTGCAGAAGCAACTGCAGAAGCACTGCAGACGAGCAGAGAGAGAGACCAGAGAGAGAGAGAGACAGACCAGAGAGAGATTGAAATCCTGTAGCCACACCTGCCCTTTGAGGACTGGTTTGACAGCCCTGGTCTCCACATATAGTCTTGTTCCAGTGTGATCCCCCTCTGTGCTGTGTGTGATTGGTCCTAGTAGTATGAGCACTGGTCCTGGTCCTAGTCCTAGTCCTGGTTCTGGTCCTGGTCTCAGATAGAGGACTTGCTAAAGGACACTCTGAGGTGGTGGTTCTCTCCCAGGTCGTGGTTGTGGAGCTGGATCAGAGACACAATGGCCTCTTCCACGGAGCCCAGCTGGATCAACGCCATCTTGTGGTCCTTCCTACAAACAACAGCATTCAGTGTTGTGATAAAGAACCACCAATTAATTTTGGCTCTTATAGGAATGAGAAATGCCTCCTCGTGTTTAGTCCGGACTCTGGGATCAGCAGGAGGCCAGTCCCTGTGCTCCTCAGAGTCCCAGCTGGAGCCCAGTCGGTTCATATGGCACTAACTTGTCAGGGATGTACTTATATTATTTTAGTAATAATAGTCTCAGAAATTGTTGAATAACATTTTATACTTAAGAAATCCATAATATGTAAAATATTCTTAATATTAAACCTACAAAGGTTAGTCAGAGACACAATCATCAAAGGAGGTTCCTGACCTCTGCCCTGGAGTACACAGTGCTTTGTTGAGCTTTTTTAAAGAGATGTTATACTTTTTTTTTTTTTTTTTTGGATAGTGACAAACTAGAATGAGAAGAACACAAATATAACACGTATAGACTTGTTACATTTGTGTTCTTCTCATTCTAGTTTGTCGTCTTCTCATTCTAGTTTCCCCACTGTGGGCGAAAACAGGATCTCTTCATCCAAGTGTCTTCTTCTCCGCATGGTGAACATCTCCTGGTGCAGGTTTAACATGAGTCTGACTGAGATGGACCCTGATCCAGTGTCAAGGTCCTTAAAGCAGCTGCTCTCCACAATATAAAGTGAGAACTCTTGTGTAATCCACTTCCATCTGTGACGTGTGTGCGCTCAGAGGGAGATAAAAGCTTGAAACCAGACACTGACAAACAAACAACTCACTGGAAGAACTTGAAAGCTTTGACGACTGCTCCAGACGAGGAAAAGAGCATCTGCAGGTCTTCCTCCACCACAGAGGGACTGGAACACACACACACACACTTCATAAGTCTCTCTGGTCTGGCCTCTCTGGTCTGGCCTCTCTGGTCTGGCCTCTCTGGTCTGGCCTCTCTGGTCTGGCCTCTCTGGTCTGGCCTCTCTCTCTGGCCTCTCTCTCTGGCCTCTCTCTCTGGCCTCTCTCTCTGGCCTCTCTCTCTGGCCTCTCTCTCTGGCCTCTCTCTCTGGCCTCTCTCTCTGGCCTCTCTCTCTGGCCTCTCTCCCTGCTCTCGTCCTCTCTCTGGACTCTTTCTGGTCTCCGTATTGTGCAGGTCCTGAGTCTCAACAGCCTCTCTTAGATAAGTGTCATTGGTGTCTCTGACTCACGGGATGTTGGACAGGTGCAGCGTGGCAGAGGGGGGGAATATGTTGGAGTAGTTCTTGGAGCCTGGTTTCTTGAAGCGGTGCAGGGGGGAGGTGCTGAAGTCCTTGGTCAGACCCTGGTCCTCGTGTCCCTCTCTTGGGAGCTGGACACTGGAGTGTTTGGAAAGAGTGATCCTCAGGGGCTTCCCATGCAGCCTCTGCCCGGTCAGGTGGCTCATCACTGGGGGAGGGAGCCTCAAGTAAGTAAGAATTATTTATTTATGTAACGCAGTTCACTGTAGTCCCTCAGAGTAGAGAAATAACAGAGAGAGGCCAGAGAGAGAGAACAGAGAGAGTAAGAAGAATGATCAGAGGGAGACCCAAGAGAGACCAGAAAGAAAAACCAGAGATAGAGACCAGAGAGAGACCAGAGTGATTAAGAAGAAAGACCATAGAGAGGGAGAATAGAGACCAGAGAAAGAAACCAGATAGAGACAAGAGAGAGAGAGAAGAAAGACCAGAGAGAGAGAAAAATCAGAGAGACACCAGAGAGAACGACCAGAGAGAGACAAGAAAGACAAGAGATAGAGACCATGTGCAATTCCTTCTATGGGAGACAATAGCAGAATCTTATTTCTCTTATGTTAAAACCCATGAGCGGCTTTATAAGAGAAGAGAAGATTTAACATGAACAATCTGACAATGTTCTCTCATCTTCTTCTTTTACCGAGTTGGGCTTGTGTGGGGTCGGCCATCTGCACCAGAGCGTTCTCCTTTTTGTTGAAGAGGATTTTAACTCTCATCACGTCGCCGTACACGCCTTCAAAAGTCCAGAGGTCAATGTTTACAAACACAGACACAGACACACAATCAAACTCTACACAACAGATCCACTGTGACTGGGTCTTAAAGACAAACTTCACTTTTATCACTAAATATCTGGCCTCGCCCCCTGGCCTCGCCCCCTGGTCTCTCCCTCTGGCCTCTCTCTCCCTCTGGCCTCTCTCTCCCTCTGGCCTCTCTCTCCCTCTGGCCTCTCCCTCTGGCCTCTCCCTCTGGCCTCTCCCTCTGGTCTCTCCCTCTGGTCTCTCCCTCTGGTCTCTCCCTCTGGTCTCTCCCTCTGGTCTCTCCCTCTGGCCTCTCCCTCTGGCCTCTCCCTCTGGCCTCTCCCTCTGGCCTCTCCCTCTGGCCTCTCCCTCTGGCCTCTCCCTCTGGCCTCTCCCTCTGGCCTCTCCCTCTGGCCTCTCCCTCTGGCCTCTCCCTCTGGCCTCTCCCTCTGGCCTCTCCCTCTGGCCTCTCCCTCTGGCCTCTCCCTCTGGCCTCTCCCTCTGGCCTCTGCCTGGTCACATTAAAACTTGACACAACCAATGGACTGTCACTTGGTCTTAAAGCCAAACCTTCGATTTTAAAAACAAATATTTAAGAAATCTGATTATTCGTTTGTTGAGCAGAGAGCAGAATTTCAATTTAGGTTTTAAAAAAGAAACAGGGAAGTTAAAAGGGCAGAGAAATCATAATGGCTGTTCCTCTCAGGAGCAATGAATCATGGGAGATTTGACTAAAACCAAGAGCAGCTGATTGAGTCATGCAGATACTGAGGAGGCTCCACATGCAGCGGTGCGGACGGTGAATGCAGCAGGTCAGAGGTCAGGGTCAAAGGTCAGGGGAGAAGGTTATAAACTGTTCATGTACACTGTGACTCTAGTACCGGCTCATGATGAACCCCCAACACTGACTGTGGGAGCAAGGAGTTCAGACATGTTTGAACTCCCTCCATGGCCTCCTCCAGAGCTGCCCTCTGTCACCGGTTCAGTTTACCGTCTTTATGGACAGAATTTCTAGGCACAGCCAGGGACCATATGGAGTCTGGTTTGGGGACCAGAGGGGGTTGGTTTGGTAACCACAAGGAACCAGAAGGGGTCTGGTTTGGGGACCACAGGGACCAGAGGGGGGTCCGGTTTGGGGACCACAGGGACCAGAGGGGGTCTGCTGTTTGCAGAAGATGTTGTCCTGTTCGCTCCAACAAACAAGGACCTTCAGCTCTGGGACGTCTGCAGCAGAGTGTGAAGTGGCTGGATGAGGATCAGCTGCAAATATGAGGCCATGGAGCTTGACCGGAGAAAGGTGGATTGCCCTCTCCAAGTCCTGATCTTGGTCCTGATCTTGGTCCTGATCTTGGTCCTGATCTTGGTCCTGATCTTGGTCCTGATCTTGGTCCAGATGGTCTGGGATTCCCCCAGATGAGCTGGAGGAAATGTGTGTGGGAAGTCTGGACAAAGTTTGAAAAACCTCTGAGGAGATGCTGCATTCACTGAACGTTTTGAGTTTGAACCTGATTGAGACAATGGTTTCTGTCTGAGTGAGTGTTGGTGAAACGTACCGAAGAGAATAAAGAGGCAGTGTGGCGTGACTCTCTTTAGAAACAGGTGAAGGAAGGAAGAGAGCAGAGTCCAGGCGCCGATTCACCAGGGACACAAGAGGCAACACAAGTCAACAAACAGATCAACAGCCCAGAGGACTGGAGTCAAAACCAACATTTGTGTTATATGTGTAATACCTGTCTAATACATGTACAGTGGGGCAAAAAAGTATTTAGTCAGCCACCAATTGTGCAAGTTCTCCCACTTAAAAAGATGAGGGAGACTTGTAATTTTCATCATAGGTTTACCTCAACTATGAGAGATAGAATGAGAAAGAATTTTCATTGGTCAATATCAAAAGTTCATATCAACATTTTGTTATATACCATTTGTTGGAAATGATAGAGCTCAAATGTTTTCTGTAAGTCTTCACAAGGTTTTCACACTGTTGCTGGTATTTTGGCCCATTCCTCCATGCAGATCACCTGTAGAGCAGTGATGTTTTGGGACTGTCGCTGGACAACACAGATTTTCAACTCCCTCCAAATATTTTCTATGGGATTGAGATCTGGAGACTGGCTAGACAGTCTTTCTCCTCCAACCACGATGATTTAAGATTTTACCAAAAAGTTATATTTTGGTTTCATCTGACCACATTTTCCCAATCCTCTTCTGGATCATCCAAATGCTCTCTAGCAAACTTCAGACGGGCCAGAACATGTACTGGCTTCAGCAGGGGGACACGTCTGACACTGCAGGATTTGAGTCCCTGACGGCGTCGTGTGGGACTGATGGAAGCCTTTGTTACTTTGGTCCCAGATCTCTGCAGGTCATTCACCAGGTCCCCCGTGTGGTTCTGGGATTTTTTTTATCTTATCTTGTGATCATTTTGACCCCACAGGGTGAGATATTGCATGGAGCCCCATATCAAGGGATATTATCAGTGTATGTCTTCCATTTTCTAATAATTGTTCCCACAGTTGATGTCTTCACACAAAGTTGCTTACCTATTGCAGATTCAGTCTTCCCAGCCTGGTGTAGGTCTACAGTTTTGTTTCTGGCGTCCTTTGACAGCGCTTTGGTCTTAACCATAGTGGAGTTTTGAGTGTGACTGTTTGAGGCTGTGGACAGATTTCTTTCAGACTGATAATGAGTTCAGATGCCATTAATACAGGTAACACGTGGAGGACAGAGGAGCCTCTTAAATAAGGAGTTAAAGGTCTGTGAGAGCCACAAATCTTAGTTGTTTGTTGACTAAATACTTATTTTCCACTATAATTTGCAAATAAATTCTTTTAAAAAAATCAAACGTGTAATTTTCTGGATTTTCTTTCTCATTCTCATAGTTGAGGTAAACCTACGATGAAAATTACAGGCCTCCCTCATCTTTTTAAGTAGGAGAACTTGTACTACTACTTTTTTGTCCTACTGTGTGTACAATACTGCAATTTCACAATGTCCACCGAATGTCACTTATTCTACTTATCATCCTGCCAGATACAGTGCCTTGCGAAAGTATTCGGCCCCCTTGAACCTTTCAACATTTTGCCACATTTCAGGCTTCAAACATAAAGATATAAAATTAAAACATTTTCTCATGAATCAACAACAAGTGGGACACAATCGTGAAGTGGAACGAAATGTATTGGATAATTTAAACTTTTTTAACAAATAAAATACTGAAAAGTGGGGCGTGCAATATTATTCGGCCCCTTTACTTTCAGTGCAGCAAACTCACTCCAGAAGTTCAGTGAGGACAAAGGAACACATCAGGCAGGTCCGAGATACTGTTGTGGACAAGTTTAAAGCCGGATTTGGATACAAAACGATTTCCCAAGCTTTAAACATCTCAAGGAGCACTGTGCAAGCAATTATATTGAAATGGAAGGAGTATCAGACCACTGCAAATCTACCAAGACCCGGCCGTCCTTCCAAACTTTCATCTCAAACAAGGAGAAGACTGATCAGAGATGCAGACAAGAGGCCCATGATCACTCTGGATGAACTGCAGATAACTACAGCTGAGGTGGGAGAGTCTGTCCATGGGACAACAATCAGTCATGCACTGCACAAATCTGGCCTTTATGGAAGAGTGCCAAGAAGAAAGCCATTTCTCAAAGATATCCATAAAAAGTCTTGTTTAAAGTTTGCCACAAGCCACCTGGGAGACACACAAAACATGTGGAAGAAGGTGCTCTGGTCAGATAAAACCAAAATCGAACTTTTTGGCCACAATATAAAACGATATGTTTGGCGTAAAAGCAACACAACTCATCACCCTGAACACACCCCTACCACTAAAAAATATGTCCAATAGTTCTGGCATGTGCCTCCTGTACTGGCCCCGCTCCCATCTCTGTGTGGAGTGAGAGACAAATGCCCAAAATTAACAATTGTAAACCGCTTTGAGACTCAGATCTGCAGTGAAAAGGCGGTATATAAATAAAAGATTACTTACTTACTGTCAAACATGGTGGTGGCAGCATCATGGTTTGGGCCTGCTTTTCTTCAGCAGGGACAGGGAAGATGGCTAAAATTGATGGGAAGATGGATGGAGCCAAATACAGGACCATTCTGGAAGAAAACCTGATGGAGTCTGCAAAAGACCTGAGACTGGGACGAAGATGTATCTTCCAACAGGACAATGATCCAAAAGATAAAGCCAAATCTACAATGGAATGGTTCACAAATAGACGTATCCAGGTGTTAGAATGGCCAAGTCAAAGTCCAGACCTGAATCCAATCGAGAATCTGTGGAAAGAGCTGAAGACTGCTGTTCACAAACGCTCTCCATCTAACCTCACTGAGCTCGAGCTGTTTTGAAAGGAAGAATGGGAAAGAATTCCAGTCTCTCAATGTGCAAAACTGATAGAGACATACCCCAAGCGACTTGCAGCTGTAATTGCAGCAAAAGGTGGCGCTACAAAGTATTAGCGCAAGGGGGCCGAATAATATTGCACGCCCCACTTTTCAGTTTTTTATTTGTTAAAAAAGTTTAAATTATCCAATAAATTTCGTTCCACTTCACGATTGCGTCCCACTTGGGGTTGATTCTTGGCAAAAAATTAAATTTTTATATCTTTATGTTTGAAGCCTGAAATGTGGCGAAATTTTGAAAGGTTCAAGGGGGCCGAATACTTTCGCAAGGCACTGTATGTATATCATTTAAACTATATATAGATTGATCAATATATATTGATAGATATATTGATATTTACTTGCTGCTCAAATGAACCATTTACAGATACTTATATTGTATATAAACGTGTAGACTTGTACCTCCGCGTTGAGGTTGCTGACCAGCAGCACTGCGTTGGCTGCAGGGAGAGTAGTGAAGCCCAGTCTGGATCCAGCAGGAAGAGAGAGGGAGGAGAGAGAGGTGAGGGTCCCAGGGAGAGCAGAGACCAGGCCTGGGTATGACGACACTGCAGAGAGAGAGAGAGAGAGAGCGAGAGAGCAAGAGAGAGAGAGGCATCAGCAGAGTCAATGTACATGTGTGATACTGTAAGAGAAAACTAAAGGAATACATTATAATAAGAGGTTGGAAACATACGTTTAACTTCTACCTACTCCCAGTGAAATTAAAGAATTTGATTTTGATCGAATTTGATTAAGACCGTCGTGAGACAGGTTAGTTTTATCCTACTGATGATGTGTTGTTGCAATAGTAATCCAATGCAACAGTAAGAGAGACCAGAAGTGAAAGAGCAGACACAGGAAGTAGAGGAGGATAAAAAGGAAGAGGAAGTGGAAGAGGGGCAGTACTTGTGGGCTGGATGGCGAAGGCGTGTGGGAAGGCGTGAGTGGCAGCAGGATACGGAGCAGTGGGGATCAGACCAGGAGCTGCAGGGACAGACACAAAACACACTCAATATCAGTATTTAAAGTCCTCTATGTTCTCACTGTGCTCTTATTATTTTATTTATTTATTTTAATTTAGGACAGTACATACCAAATCAATGTATCTTAACATAAATATGCTGGAATTAGCACAATAACTAAATTGCATCCATTGTCCTAAGGCAGGTAGAAACATACACACAGTTCGGCAACAGTACAAACAATAAATCGACAAGCACAAAGTAAAGAATTTAAATGAGAAGAGAAAGATAAAGTCCAATGAAAAGCACAACTTAATCTTTCGGAGCATGACTGGTTTGATTTCAACTCATTTTTCAGGGCTGAAATGTTAGGTAGATCCCACAGTTACATAGGTGTTCTGACAAGGTGTTCCATGATATTTTGCCTCTGATGGACGCCACCATTTGGCTGAATTTAGTCATGCTCCTTTGTACATTACAGTCTCCCCTGGTTAGTGCTCTGGTTCTGACTCCACTGTTGTTTTTTATTTTTAAATAAAAAAATCCATTAAAGGGGCTATACCCGTTTCTGCAAGGTTTGAATGTTTAGCACCGCCCCCCAACTCGCTCAATGGCTTCTCATTTCCCCTACGCTCTCATAACACAGAGCCATCTAGCTCAATATGCGATCTGATATGTATGCTAACATTAGCATTAGCGCAACTTCTTGTAAGCTGTACAACAATCACTGCTGAAATGGTACTAAAGCAACGCACTGCTAACACAATATATAGCTTCAGCCTTCAGCGCCTGTCACTACACTGTGCAGCTTCTCTGTACACAGTTGTCTGTGCAGAGAAGCAAGCGGAGCTAGCCGAGTCAGCCACGCTCCATAAACAAATACATATCAATCAATCAATGCCATTAAATGTTATTCGGACAATACAGTATACATATACATCCTTAACACACGTGCACGGACGTTTTCAGAATTTGTTGTTAACGTTTTCATGACGAAAATACTATTTTAATGTGACCAAAAGTGACTGCAAAAAACCCGGAAGAAACCATTAACATGAAACAAACATTTTAGGACACATTTGAAGAGGATCTGATGGATTTAGGTTCGGTATATAAATGGGTAACTCACCGCTGATGTTCAGATTTCTTTGTTCAGTTTTCATGTAGCTCCAGAGAGTTTTTGAACTAGCTAGCTTAGCTGTTACCCAACTAGCACGTCACGGTGAAACCTTTGGGAGCTAACTATTTTATTTGCAGTCATTAAATACACTGTCTAATATTTGTTCGAATATATATATATTTTTAATTTTAGAATTATATTCGAATTTCCAAGCCGAAGCCCTAGTGTTTAGCAGCGCTGTAGAGGCTAGAGGACGCAGGCTGGTCGCTGCTCGTTCTGTGAGTGGAGGAGAACGAGCGTCCCTCTAAGACTCTACTCAGCACTTTTCACGGCTGTATCTCATACACCGCTGAATCAATTACCTCAAGTTTTCAATTAAATTATGGATTATAATACAACTATAATAAGCATTTTTATGAACTACTTAGATGAACTACTTAGGGGGCGACAGTAGCTCAGTTGGTAGAGCATTGGCCTTTGGGCCTGAAGGTCGTGGGTTCGAGCCCACCATAAGACCTACATCACGACTCCCACTGAGGACTACTGTCGTTGTGTCCTTGGGCAAGACACTTAACCCCACTTTGCCTGAAGCTCCCACTGAAAGATCTCAGCTCCTGTGGACTCACCACCTGCAGGAGGATCAGTGAGGGGCTGGTGCTAAGTGTACTGGGTGCAGCTCTGACTGCCACCCCCCTGACCCAGAAATGGATTAAGGGGAAGAAAATGGATGGATGGAGGAACTACTTAGACAAAAAATCGGGTATAGCTTCTTTAAGGGAGGAGGAGCAAGTCCATTTATCACTTTAAAAATAAGGCAAGCATCCAGAAACTTCTTACAATTCTCAAAATCTAAAATATAATGCTTACTTACAATAAATAGGAAGCCCTTGCATTAAGTGTTTTCTTAAACAGAGACTTGAGTGGCTTCAAAGTGTTCTCTGATGTGTGGGACCAAGTTGTGTGGCAATAGTTAATTGCCACAGTTGGCATGTGTAAGGCCTGTGTAAGGTCTGAATCAAAGATGACTCCCAGATATTTATATTGTTGTACCACTTCTTAATGTGTTCCATTGACCAGAACAGATGGCTGTTCACTCCCTCCTGGCTGACAGAAGAACATGCAAACAGTTCTTTTGGTATTTAAGTGTAGGCAAGAGTTTGGAGCCATTGTGTTACTGGAACCATGGCCCCAGAGACAACTGCAGCTGCTTCTGCTTTTATTTTTGCATGACTATACAGAACTGTGTCATCAGCATATAATTGTATTTTTACTGTATTACATACATAGTTTAGATGTTTACAAACCAATTTGCCATTTCCATTAGCGCTATTGATTAAATCAATGAAGAAGTTTGCTCTAGCTAGACGCATCTCTTTAACAACTTTATTTCTAAGTAATGTAAAGATTAGAGCTGTCAAAATGATCACGCGTGTTAATTAAATGTTTTCATTAATCGCATTAAAAAAATTAACGCATTTGATGCATGTGCCGAATGACCCGTCCATGCATCCCATAATAACACTCAGAAGTGCCGCTCACATGCTTCTCATTTTGAGAAACCCTCCTACTCTCCTCTACGCTCTCTTCCCATTGAGCCATGTTGTTTTAGTAGCGATCTGATAGGCATTAGTTAGAATTAGCACAACTTCTTATAAGCTGTACAGCAATCACTGACAAAATAGTACAAAAGCAATGCACTGCTATAACTGAAAGATTACCGCCAGTTTCGCGTCTGAGGCGGTCTCCTACCCGCAGGTCTCTCCAGAGGATATGATGTAAGCTAGCTATGTTCACCTGGGCTTGATTACTTCTTTGATAATTTTTTCGCTTTATTTCCCTTTTCTCTACCTTACTGTTGCATCTTTTGGGCTAATTTGCTGTGTCTGCAGTTACGGCCAGAGGATTTATAGCCACTTTCAGCCTCCATGCTACTGTGTTTATCTGCGCTGCAGACGCTAGAGGAGTCAAGTTTGTAACAGCGCTGCCCCTCATTGGAGGAGAACGAGCATCGCGCAAAGTTTCTACTCAGCACTTTTTATGGCCTGTATCAATGAACTCAATTTTGTAATCAATTTACAGGTTTTTAATACAACTTCTATGAAGTTATACGCATTTTTATGAACTCATTAGAAAATAAATCTTGTATGTAAATATGGCATAATTTTGCCGATAGTTCAAATTGCGATAAATTACGATTAATTAATTTTTAAGCTGTATTTAACTCAATTTAAAATTGTAATCGCTTGACAGCCCTAGTAAAGATATGTCGGTCACTGATAATACCCAACTTGAGAGATTTCTCTTTTCTAATAAACTATATACATAATACCCTTATTAATCCATGGAATGTTATTTCTACATTGTTTGGACACTCTTTTCTTTGTAAATTGGGCAAAGATTTCACACACCACATAATTAAATGTATTTGAACTATCTTTACTTTCCACTACATTAGACCAATTTAAATGTTCAAATTCATTTTTTTTATTGTTTGCTAACTTTTATGTATTAAAGTATAAGCTTTTCCATTTATGATCTGGCCTCTCTCTCTCTGGTAGAGTTGTGTCCGTACCAAAGGCGGTTGCCATAGCAGCCTGGTGCTCCATGGCGGGGGTGTCTCCACTGGGCAGGTCCGGTCGGGTGAAGTCTCGACTGCGTTCATTGTTGAACTTTATGTCGAGAGCTGTGAGTTTGGAGAAGCTGATCCTCAGAGTACAGCAGCCGTTGTACAAGTTCTGACCGTCCAGCAACTGACAAAAACAACCACCGCAAAAGTGTCAGAAATCCAGCTAGCCACCACTAATTCAACAATGATATAGCAAATATGTGCAATAACTGCATATAAATGATTTGTTTACGCACTGGGTCCTTACCACTTTGGCCGCCTGAGCCGCCTGTCCGTCAGAGTACTGTAGCAGCGCCTGGAACTGACTGTTTTTGGTGAAAACGATGATCCGCAAAATTGTGCCAAACTTTGAAAAAACCTGGAACACAACACAAGACCAGAGACTTTAGACCAGAGACTTTAGATCAGAGACTTTAGACCAGAGACTTTAGACCAGAGACTTTAGACCAGAGACTTTAGACCAGAGACTTTAGACCAGAGACTTCAGACCAGAGACTTCAGACCAGAGACTTCAGACCAGAGACTTCAGACCAGAGACTTCAGACCAGAAGCACTAGACCAGAGACACTAGACCAGAGACTGTAGACCAGAGACTTTAGACCAGAGACTTCAGACCAGAGACTTCAGACCAGAGACTTCAGACCAGAAGCACTAGACCAGAGACACTAGACCAGAGACACTAGACCAGAGGCTTTAATGGAAAAGGAAAAGATACAGGAGAGAGAAAGAATTGAGGATGTACATATAAAGGATATACAATGTTAGTGCCATATGACCAAAGGAGAACTCTGATGAGCACAGGGACTGGCCTCCTGCAGGGAGTTGGTTCATATGGCACTAACATGTCACAGATGTATTTTGGTGCGAGGCCATGGAGACATTTAGCAAACAGAGCTGCTTTAAAGTCTATTCTTTGAGCCACAGGAAGCAGAGAGCTGAGACCAGGACTAATGTGAGAGGACTTCCTGTTCTAGTCAGGACTCGAGCTGCAGCTCAAATGTATTGTTGAGCATTCTTAAACAAATGCATGCTATAAAATTGGCCAGGAGTATGGCGTCTATTATTCAGTTACCGTAGAGCAAAATCATAGAGCAGTACCATAGAGCAGTAGTGTAGAGCAGTACCAGTGTCATAGAGCCTGGTACTGTACCGTAGGGCAGTACCAAAGAGTAGTACCGTAGCACAGCACAGTACCGTAGAGCAGTACCGTAAAGCAGTACCTGATAGAGCGTATCCATGGTGACGGCCCCAGGCGCACACACCATGTTCTCAACCACCACACGCAGCACTGAGCTGGAAGGCGGGGCCATGGGTTCCAGGTGGGAGGAGCTTAAAGCACGCAGAGCCGCCTGCGCCCTCTACAGGTCAGGTGGGAGACAGAAGGAAGACACAGAAAGACAGTGTGAAAGATAGTAACAGTACTCAATCTAACCCAGAGGCTACTCCACCTCTGCTGCTGTGACCTGTCCTGCTCCCCCCAGAGGCTACTCCATCTCTGCTGCTGTGCCCCGTCCTGCTCCACCCAGAGGCTACTCCATCTCTGCTACTGTGACCTGACGGGCTGTTGCTGATTATTACTATCGTTAGCTTTTTTGAATGATCAATTTCATTTTTTATTTTTGCTGCTACTGGACACCTGAATTTCTCTGACGGGGATCAAAAAAGTATCTATCTATCTCACCAGGGGTCTCCAGCCTGTATGCTAACCGCTAACCTAAGAAGTGTTCGTAGCAAAAGGGGCTCACCTCTTGGTTCGGGGAGTTGTCGGTTTTCAGCTCTTTGTGGTTGGAGAACTGGATGTGCACCGGCTGATTGCGGACCACAGGGAGAACGTTGGAGAAGTATCCCACCATGTTCTGAGCCACCTCCTCCGAGCTCATCTCCAGGAACGCCTGAAGACACAGGAGAGACCATCACCTCCTCTGACCCAACACCTCCTCTGACCATCACCTCCTCTGACCCAACACCTCCTCTGACCCAACACCTCCTCTGACAATCCTCTCCTCTGCTGTGACCAAACACCTCCTCTGACCCATCACCACCTCCTCTGACCATCACTGACAACGCCCGGAAGTCTGCTGCCTACTCTCAGCCACAGAGAACACATCACCCCTGTCCTCAAGACCCTGTCGCACATGCAAAGCCACATCACAACACAATCTGAATTCTCCTGATGGTCCATTTTAATCTTGGCCCTAGTTCAGAGAAGATCCAAGAAAAGTCCTATTATATTATTCCTTATTAACCTGGTACAATGCAGCTCTCCTGTTTTCAGCTTGAGCAGGTAGGAGTCTCACCTGGTTCTTGGCTTTCAGCATGAGCAGGTTGGACACGTCTCCGAAGTGCAGACCCAGAGCGATGACGTCGGCCTCTGTGACGTCCGAGGGCAGACGACGGATGTGCAGAACTCGAGAGGGCGAGCCCACTCCACGCATCTCTCCTTTGAACTTCTTACTGTCGCTGCCATTGGCTGCAACACACAGGATTACAATATAGAGAACAGTGAGAGACCAGAGAGAGAGACCAGAGAGAGAGAACACAGTGAGAGAACAGAGAGAGAGAACAAAGAGAGACCTGACAAAGCGCACGATTTGGAGGAAGAGAGGCTGATTTCAGATACATCCTCAAGGTAGAAGCCTGGAACAACACACGTTGCCCTCTAACTAAAGACACCCCTGGTATAGAAAACTTTTGATTGATTCTTGTATCGAATCCAGGAGGAAGAATAATACAAGCTACAGGGCTGGGAAACCTCCTACTATTGTCTCATATTCAATTTCAATCATGTATAAAACAAAGGAATCTCCCCATTTTTGGACGAAGAGAGATTATCTTTTTTCAGAGAAACATAAGGGATACTGTATAACGTTCTGAACTGTGGAGAAAATTGTTAAAAATGTAGATATATATATTAAATGAGTTATGATCATAGTGTGAGACAAAACAATGTTTAAGCTGAGAAAAGACATTTTAAACTCTGAGGTCATTTTGCACAATGTGAGACGGAACAGATTAAATCAATGAGCTGAGAGGAGTCTATTGTGGACTCCTCACATGGTATGCAAAAAACTCACAAGATCCCAAATACTTTAAACTAGAACATAACATCATTTCGACTCCTCACTTATTAACCAATCATAGCAATTATAATATAATAATTCTGAAATAATACAATAGTGAAGAGGAAGGACAGCGGCAGAACCAGGACTTTTACGGGCATTACGGGTATCTTATGGACCAATCATTCCATTTCATATGTATTGCAATCTGTTTTTTGAATCTGCTGTTGGAAAATCAACTATTCCCCAATCCTGGATCTGGAGCCAACGAGTCCGAGCCTCTTGCTCTCTGGTGCCTCTCTCTCTCTGGCCTCTCTCTCTCTGGCCTCCATCTCTCTGCTTGTGAATAAATATGATTATTTTATCTATCTATTTTAATCTATATCTTGTTACTATTTAGTGTCATTAAATATCCTCTTTTATATCTGGTTCATACTTAATACATATTAAGCAACAACTAGATTCTCACGATAATCAGTGCCCCCCAAACATGCTCTCTGTGCAGTAAAAGCAGATCAAACTGTAGTAATGTTTTAATGTCGTACCTGTGGTGCTCATGATATAGGGACCGTTGGAGACGCTGGACAGAAGCTCCTCAGATCCTCTCTGAAACAGACAGGACACATCTTTAGACCAGGGCTTTGTGATGTTACACAATCAGAAAATCAGAAAACGCATGACGGTAAATTGTATAGTGAGAAAAAATATTCAAGACATAGAATACAGCCACAGATGCCGAAAAGACTTGATGACCAGTTGTAGAGTTAAGGAAGAGTAGAGATGCCTACCCTTGTTACAATTGACCTGAAATGTAGAGGCCATATCCAAGGGCTTGCGGCTCATCAAACATGTTTCTACCACATGATGACGGGGTTGAAGAAAATGGAAGACAAATCTAATCAAAAGTCAGTAATCAGTCAGTCCCAATAAATGCTATTTATCTGAATGAGTCACAGAAACAGTTTAGCCAGCTCTGATCTAGACAGAAATATATTTAGGTTCTTACTGAGAAAAACAAGACCTTGTTTAAAAACAATTTGCATTGAATAGGGGTGGGAACCTAAGGGTACCTCACGATACGATACACCAGGGGTCGGCAACCTAGGGCACGCGTGCCACATGTGGCACGCAGCGGGATAAACACTGGCACGCCGGCACCTCCGCATTATTCTCACTGTATCTGTCCTGTTTTAAAAATAAGTCTGTCTGAGCGCTTTTTGAGCGCTTTTTGCCGGCCGGCACTAGGACCCAGCGGACACCACCACGGGGATAAGCTGCGTGCTTCCCTCACACACACACCGTGTGTAGCTGTGGGTGGAGCCAGGAGCTGCAGCTGCAGGTGTATGCGCGATTTAAACTTATTTTTGCACATTCAAAGTAGTAACTAGTGTGCCATTCACTGCAGACGCCTCCTACAATCATTGTGACACGCCGTTATCACTGTGTGTGTGAAATCAAAGAGGGAACTGGTGAGTTTATGCATTTTTGTGCTGCACAGAGCTAGAATGCTAGCGCTAGCGATGTTGAACTCGAATGTTGTTGTTCTCATCATGTTGTTTCCCTGTGTAGGCGACTATGCCTTTTCATGTGCTCATGTATGGATACCAGAGCCTGAAATTTGCTTGTGTGCTCTTGAACCAAAAGTATTAATACATACAGTGGGGCAAAAAAGTGTTTAGTCAGCCACTGATTGTGCAAGTTCTCCCACTTAAAATAATGGTCTGTAATTTTCATCATAGGTACACTTCAACTGTGAGAGACAGAATGTGAAAAAAAAATCCAGGAATTCACATTGTAGGATTTTTGAAGAATTTATTTGTAAATTATGGTGGAAAATATGTATTTGGTCAAAAACAAAAATTCAACTCAATACTTTGTAATATAACCTTTGTTGGCAATAACAGAGGTCAAACGATTACTAAAGGTCTTTACCAGGTTTGCACACACAGTAGCTGGTATTTTGGCCCATTCCTCCATGTTTCGGGGATGTCGCCGAGCAACACGGACTTTCAACTCCCTCCACAGATTTTCAATGGGGTTAAGGTCTGGAGACTGGCTAGGCCACTCCAGGACTTTCAAATGTTTCTTACGGAGCCACTCCTTCGTTGCCCGGGCGGTGTATTTGGGATCATTGTCATGCTGGAAGACCCAGCCACGTTTCATCTTCAAAGCTCTCACTGATAGAAGGAGGTTTTGGCTCAAAATCTCACGATACATGGCCCCATTCATTCTTTCCTTAACACAGATCAGTCGTCCTGTCCCCTTAGCAGAAAAACAGCCCCAAAGCATGACGTTTCCACCCCCATGTGCTCTCTGGCAAACTTCAGACGGGCCTGGACATGCACTGGCTTCAGCAGGGGGACACGTCTGGCACTGCAGGATTTGATTCCCTGTCGTTGTAGTGTGTTACTGATGGTAACCTTTGTTACTCCAGGTCCCCCCGTGTGTTTCTGGGATTTTTGATAACCGTTCTCATGATCATTTTGACCCCACGGGATGAGATCTTGCGTGGAGCCCCAGATCGAGGGAGATTATCAGTGGTCTTGTATGTCTTCCATTTTCTGATAATTGCTTCCACAGTTGATTTGTTCACACCAAGCTGCTTGCCTATTGTAGATTCACTCTTCCCAGTCTGGTGCATGTCTACAATTCTTTTCCTGGTGTCCTTCAACAGCTCTCTGGTCTTGGCCATAGTGGAGTTTGGAGTCTGACTGTTTGAGGCTGTGGACAGGTGTCTTTTATACAGATAAGGAGTTCAAACAGGTGCCATTAATACAGGTAACAAGTGGAGGACAGAAGAGCTTCTTAAAGAAGAAGTTACAGGTCTGTGAGAGCCAGAGATCTTCCTTGTTTGAAGTGACCAAATACTTATTTTCCACCATAATTTACAAATACATTCTTTTACATATTTTTTTCTCATTCTGTCTCTCACAGTTGAAGTGTACCTCCATCCATCCATCCATTTTCTACCCTTTAATCCATTTCTGGGTCAGGGGGGTGGCAATCAGAGATGCCACCCAAGTCTCATAGCACCAGCCCCTCACTGACCCTCTGCAGGTGGTGAGTCCACAGGAGGAAGTGTACCTATGATGAAAATTAAAGACCTCTGTCATTGTTTTAAGTGGGAGAACTTGCACAATCGGTGGCTGACTAAATACTTTATTGCCCCACTGTATATATACTGTGTAAAAAAAAAAACATTCCAACCCATCGGCCAAGTTGTTATGTTAAACATCTGTATCGGCCCAAAATCTCACAATATGAACTGTGCTATACAAATAAACAAGCCTTGTTGGTAGCAGCAGGAGTGTTGTAGAAGTATTAGTAAAGTGAACTGTAGTTGTTCAGCAGAAGCAGTGTGTCCCAGCTCCAGAGCCTCAGGGGAATTCCACACAGAGCTCAATGCAAAACACACGACAAGACTGAAACAAAGGACTAATGACACAAGGACCAGGACTAAACCAGGACTAATGACCATGTCCAGGGTCGCCTCAGGTTCGATCAAGTGACAAGATCTTTGGATTCGGAAAAGGAATCCTCAAACACTCAAATAATACATTCAGACCAAACGGTTTATTGTATTATCTAAATCCATTACTAATAGTAATAATAATAATGCTTGCATAACACTTCGTGGCCACTAAAAGACATTAGAATCCAAAGCTTTAAGGTCTTAATTATCACGTTGGTAACCTGTTAAGCAATTGCCATATTTACTTCTCGCTTTGATCACGAAAACAATCTTCAAATCAGTCTAGTCTCTCTCTGGTTTCTGCTGGCTGGGCGACATGGAGGTTCTAGCTTCTCAGCAAGAAGATCATGGTTCAAGCCCCGGTTGGAACAGGGCCTTTCTGAGTTGAGTTTGCATGTTCTCCCTCCATGACTCGCTTCTATCATCAATGTGTGGAGAGAAAGGAACAATATCTGATTTCTGAACATTGTAAAGCGCTTTGGGTGACAAGCCTTGAAACTCAAGGCATCTTCAGCGTAGACTGAATTTGGACAAAACAGGCTGCAGTTGTGCGACCATCTATGACACCTGCCATTTTAAAATTTGAATACAACAACGTAAATGTGTTTTTAATTGTGCTAAAAGCCCCAGAGATGAGAGATGGGCATTGCAAATTAGCCTTGGCTGTAAATGTTGTAGTTACAAATAGCTAGCTTATAGCTGTCCCACCCGTGGGCACCTGCGGTACTACAGACTAAAATCACCCAGAAAAATGTCCCATTTAAAAAAGAAAAAAAAAAGAAAAAATGTCCCATAGTACTCTTGACCTCAGTTGACAGAGCATACAGTAGCTTTCATAAAAGGTGATTTTAGTTTCCCCTTGTCATCCTGAAGTTTATTTGTCATTAAATCCAACCGTTTTCAATGAATCAACACATGACCGAAACCATGCCCAAATATGGGCGAGTTCTAGTAATCTTTCGGTGGCCATGGTGGTCCCATGCGTAACTAAACACAAGCCACTAATTTGAATAGGCCGCCATCTTGAATCACTTGGTAAAACCATTGTTTCTGCTTCTGGGGGGTCTGTAGTTTAGCCGAGTCGTGTGATGTGTGTTCACAACAGGACATAGGGTTTACACACATCGGAATTGTTGAATGAAATTTTACTTTTGTTAAAATCTATTTAAACTTGTCATCATCCGTCCCCATGTCAAAGATCTGGATTAAGTTGTGTTGTACATCTCCAAAATACCCATTGTCATACATCACCCATGTTTTAATACATTACGACCTCTGCTCTGCACTCCAGATCTGAGACAACCAAACCAAGACCAAACAGGTCTAGCTGACCCAGCTCTTCTGCATAAAAACACTTAAATGTAATCTATGTCATCTGTATTTGAGACACATACAAACTGCTTATTTCTCCTGGACTCTCACATCTGAGCATCACTGGAGCCGACATCAATTATACAACAGAAACCTGAGTCTGTTTGACACTGGAGTCTTCAGCCACAGAGAGTCCATCTGTCCACTGCCTTCTTTCTCTCTGCTCGCTCTCTCTCTCTCTGCTCTCGCGCTCTCTCTCTACCCTCTTCCTCTCAGTGCACACGTGGTACAGACCACTTCCTGCAGGGACATTAGGCTGTTCCCTCTGGTTTCCCTGGAGCTGATGGTGATGGATGCAGTTCTCAGTAAATCAAATTAGAATAAAGAGCTCTCCTTCCACAGCTGCTGCTTCTCTGACTCCACACAACGTGGATCTGCTGCTCCTCAGCTTCAGACCAACACATACACCACACACTTTGGACAAGAGCTGTTAATCTGTAGCTCATCAGGAAAGGCCAGTCACATGGTCAGAGGTATCCTGGTTGGTTCATTTATCAGAAGAACAATACCATTTTATAACTTTGGTATTGGAGTCTATGGACAGTGATGATCCAGGACATTTATGGATCTCTCTCTGGTCCCCCTCTCTGGTCCCCCTCTCTCTGGTCCCCCTCTCTCTGGTCCCCCTCTCTGGTCCCCTCTCTCTTCCAGTTGACAATGAAGTTAATTTGAAAGAACAGTGAAGGAGGTAGTTGTATAAAAAACTGGTTTAGGGACTTGGAGCCAAGTTCTCGGACGGAAATTGGCGTCCGACTGGAAAGAG